AACTGCAGGGAAAGTTGCGTTAACTTAAATTGCAGTTACTTAGCCGGTGATTAGCTGGAAACAAAAGAAAGTACTGGAGACAATGATCGCTTAGGTGAGGAACTGAGTGGGTGGAGGGCCAGCAGAGGTATATATTGGCCGATTTACCAGCGCCATTCCAGGGGGCTTCCTGCTGGCTTGAGGGGCACTGCTGAGGGAAAAACCACATCCACATGGGATGCAGATGAGCAATCACTTGAAGAAGAAGAATAGAATCCTAGGGCTGGGAGAGACCTCAGGATGTACAATCCAGCCCCCTACCCAAAGCAGGACCAACCCCAACTAAATCATGCCAGCCAGGACTTTCTCAAGCTCTGGGGATGGAGACTCCACCTCCCATTCCAGTACTTCACCACCCTCCTAATGAAATATTTTTTCCTAAAATCCAACTTAGACCTCCCCCACGGAAACTTGAGACCATTGCTCCTCTTTTTGCCATCCATCAGTATTGTGAACAGCCTCTCTCCATCTTCTTTGGATTCTCCCTTCAGGAAGTTAAGGCTTCAAATCCCCCCTCACTCTTCTCTTCTGCAGATTAATGAGCCCAAATCCCTCAGCCTCTCCACGTAAGTTATGTGCTCCGTAGTAGGAAACACTGGTGCTATCTGAGGAGCTGGAATATGCCTCAGTGCTGAGCGGATTAGAGATGTGCTAGGCACGTCTGAGGCAGAGGCATTGGTGGCAGGAGGTATGGGAGGTGCTGCGCTCTCGTGCTGCGTCGACAAGGCAGTTTCAGTGCCAGATCTTATCGCAGCTGATGAGGCAGGCAACTTAAAGCCTGATGCCTTGGAGCGGGTATTTGAGTGTCCCCTTTGCCAGCTGTGCTAGTGGCTCCGGAGATGCCTAGAGCATCATAGGTGCTTAGGCACAGCACCATTGCTGTTCTTGGCACCAGCCGTGAGGAAGAAAACGGCATCTCCTCAGGCAGAGATGAGGCTCACTTTTTGGTGGTCTTTTTGCCTCTGCTTTGTTTCAGTTCCTCAGGCTGTTGACCTGAGTCAGTTTTCAAGTAGAATTAACTTGAGAGGCAGGTCTCTGTCCTGTCATGAGCACGATTTCAGTTTTGCACAATGCAGACATTTTTAAGAAACATGAGCCTCTCCGAGGCAGCGGACACATTGTGCATGTCCATCCGAGATGGAGATAGTATCTTTGCAGGCAGAACTCTTAAAATCCAGTGAGCCAGGCATGGCGCTGAACAACTATCTAACTACAGGAAGGGAATGAACTGGGAGAGAAAGAAAAAAAAACCCTAGTCTATTCTAGTTTTGTTTAAAAAAAAAAAAGCTAGACTAAACTACCAACAACTGACCAACTAGTGAGAAAAAGCTTGGTTCTAAAAAAGGGATTATTATCTGAAAATGCGAATGAGATAGGGAGCACTGCTGAGCTCTGTCTCCAGCCGGAGACAGTAGAGGAGGAATTTAGGAGGGGAGGCTCCTGCATGCATGATTCCTGCCACCTAAGAGAACGTGATTGCAGACATGCGCAAGCGGGGCCACAGGGACACTGCTCTAAAATCTCCGATCAATGGCTCAGCGGCGGCGCACTGACTTAACGTCAAGTAACTGCGGGAACATCTCTCAAAGAAGCAGCAAAGTCTGCTGGCACAGACACTTATACTATAAAATGATCACAAACATGCCAGGGCCTAGCTACGCACACATCGGTTTCTGGGCAGCTTCTCAAGCACGGAGGACAGTGAGCACCACCCGCATCCCAGCCTTTGAAATTGTCAGGGCCTGATGTCTATTCCGTGGCTTTGCCAGGGAGGGCAGCGTGTCACAGCTGGTACCTGTGCAGTTCAAGGTGTGGTTGCCACCATGTTTGCAGGAGTTCCCCCCGGGGGAAGAATAGCCTGCATTGCACTGGCAGCTGTAACTCGCCGGGGTGTTGATGCAGAAGCTGTGAAGGCCACAGATCGATGGGTTTTCAGAACATTCATCAATATCTAAACAGAAGAACAAGGAATTAATTATTAATCACAGTGGCACTTACATGTTCAAACTGAGATCAGAGGCCCATTGTGCCAGACATGGGGGTGAAGGTGGAAAAGGACTCGCCAGGCCCCTGGGCCCAGGGTGCCAAAAGGGCTCAGCCCGGCCCTGGCCGCCGCTGTTCTTCACACTGGCTGTGAGGAAGACACCAGCATCTCCTGAGGCAGGGATGAGGCTGACTTTTTGGAGGGCTTTTTGCCTCTGCTTTGTTTCAGTTCCTCGGGCCGTTGTCCTGAGTGAGTTTTCAAGTAGAATTCATTTGAGAGGCAGGTCTCTGTCCTGTCACAACCACGATTTCAGTTTTGCACAATGCAGACGTTTTTGAGAAACAGGAGCCTGTTGTGCATGTCCATCCACGATGGGGAGAGACTCTTTGCAGGCAGAACAGCGCTTAAAATCCAGTGAGCCAGGCATGGCGCTGAACAACTATCTAACTACAGGAAGGGAATGAACTGGGAGAGAAAGAAAAAAAAACCCTAGTCTATTCTAGTTTTGTTTAAAAAAAAAAAAAAAAAAAAAAGCTAGACTAAACTACCAACAACTGACCAACTAGTGATAAAAATCTTGGTTCTAAAAAGGGATTATTATCTGAAAATGCAAACGAGTTAGGAAGCACTGCTCAGCTCTGACTCCAGCCGGAGGCAGTAGAGAAGGAATTTGGGGGGGGGGAGGGTTCGTGCATACATGATGACTGCCACCTAGGAGCACATGACTGCAGACATGCGCATGCAGGGCCTCAGGGACACTGCTCTTAAATCTCCTATCAGTGGCTCAGCGGCGGCGCACTGACCTTATGTGGAGCAACCACGGGGACATCTCTCACAGAAGCATCAAAGGCTCTGCTGGCACAGACACTTATACTATATAATGATCACAAACATGCCAGGGCCTAGCTACGCACACATCGGTTTGTGGGCAGCTTCTCAATTACGGAGCACAGTGAGCACCACCGCATCCCAGCCTTTGAGACTGTCAGGGTCAGATGTCTATTCCATGGCTTTCCCAGGGAGGGCAGACTGGTACCTGTGCAGTTCAAGGTGTGGTTGTCTCCAGGTTTCCAGGAGTTCCCCCCAGGGGAAGAATGGCCTGCTTTGCACTGGCAGCTGTAATTCCCCAGGGTGTTGATGCAGAAGCTGTGAAGGCCACAGACCGAAGGGACCTGAGAACATTCATCAATATCTAAACAGAAGAACAAGGAATTAATTATTAATCACAGTGGCACTTACAGGCTCAAACCGAGATCAGAGGCCCATTGTGCCAGACATGGACGCGAAGGTGGCAAAGGACTCACCAGGCCCCTAGGCAAGATTGGCTCTGCTCCTGGAAGAGGTAGGGCCTCGAATGGAAGGCCCAGGACAGTTGTCCCCTTTGCCTTCCCTCTGCACCCAGTGTCAGTGGCTCCGGTACCAGGCACGGTGTCCCCCACGAGTGTATTAATTGGTGACTTTTCCATCTAGCCATTATGCTTGTGACAGGAGTATTGTGATGATAATAAAAAGTCTCTCTCTTCCTTTTTTATTAACCTGGTATTGGTTAATTTTTTTGTGTCCTGGTTTTATTTTAAGGCTGAAATTTCCCAAGTGATATCTTCCCTGGTTTCCTTATCATCACTTGGGTGGTGGCAGTGGATTTTTATCCCCAAAATTTAGGTTTTTAAGATTTTGGGGGGAAGCTTTATACCAAACCCTGGAAAGATAAGGTTTTGGGGTACTTTTCGGGCCCCCACTTCTGCATGTATTATGCCAGAGGATTAGGCCTTGACACACTCTAATATGCCATTAGCCTTCTTGGCTACAAAGGGCACACTGTTGATTCATATTTAGCTTCTCATCCAGTGTAATGCCCTAGAACCGATCCTTGGGGCACTCAACTTGAAACAGACCATCAATCAGACCTTGAGCCGCTGATCACTGCCCACAAAGCCCCACAATCTAGCCAGCTTTCTATCAACCTTTCAGACTATTCATCCAATCCATACTTCCTTAACTTGCTGGCAAAAATATTATGGGAGACTGTATCAAAAACTTTGCTGAAGTCAAGGTATATCACATCCACCAACTTCCCCATGTACACAGAGCCACTTATCTCATTATAGAAGCTAATCAGGTTGGTCAATCATGACTTTCCCTCGGTGCATCCTGGGTGATGAGAGAGCCTGGTCCTTATTGTGGTTCCATATAGACAAGCACAGTTTTAGATGCTCAAAAAGGTCTAGTTCATTGCATGTAGAGAGAGTGCTGTGCCCAGGTCAAGGATATATATTTTAATCTCACAGGAACTGGCGTGCAGTTTGGAAAAATGTACGAAGGTCTGATTAAGGGGGATAGTATTTTAGGGAGGAATTTCAGGTGGATCCATAGAGTAACCTTGTGGTGGTGGACAGAGGAATCCTCCAGTAGAGCTGCAATCTCTCCCACCCATCTCATCATGATGATGGCTACAAGAAAGATGGTCTTCATGGATAAATGCAAGAGACAGGCGGTGGCCATTGGTTCAAAAGGTAGCCAGATTAAAGGATTCAACATAAGATGCAGGTCCCATGGTTGTGTTGGTGGGGTGATCTCAGGATAAATTTCTTGAAGACCCTTTAAAAACCTCCTAGTGTGCAAATATTGGTTAGTCTTCTAGCTTAAAATGGAAGGTAGTAATAGCAGCAAGATGGACTTTAATGGAACTTATTGCAAGGCCTGCTTGTTTAGCTTGCAAAGGTAGCACTGGAATAGTTGAGAGGCTCTCATGACCCTTGACCTGATGTTCAAATTTGCTTATTGGAGTGCTGTGACTGTTGTGCCTTTGGAGAGGGAGGGCATCGTCATTGGTTTCTGTCTCCGCCTCTATTCTGTTGATGTTGATCTTGTCTGTTGTAATGTTGAGTATACTGAGGGTATTGAGGCCTAGGGTAGGGCTGATACGAGTATTGTCTCCTTCTAGGGGCTGGGTTGTGGATGCTTAGAGAGCAGAGCTTTGCTCTGGAATCCTTCATCAAATGAAGAATTTCATTGGTATTGGTTGCAAACAGCTTCTGGCTGTCAAACGGACAATCTCCCATCATAGGTTGGATTTCTCCAGGAAAGGGAGTGGAGTTAAATCATGAAGCCCTTTTCATGACTACTGCTGTTGCTGTAAATTGTGCACCCATATCAGCAGCATCTAATGCAGCCTGCAAGGCTGTTCCGGCAGTCGTGTGACCCTCTGATATCAGCGCTTTGAACTGCTGTCTTTTTGCCTTAAGAATGTCTGCTATCAAGCCATGGAGTTTGGTGTAATTTCCGTAGTCATATTTACATAATAAAGCAGCATAAATTGGAAATACGAAATTGTAAGGTGGAAGACACGTAAACTTTACATCTGAATAAATCAAGTCTCTTGCTATCATGGTCCGATGGGGTGGACCAGAATTGTTGCTGCTTGGTTTTCTGCTGTGCAGCTTTCACCACAGGAGAGTTAGGCATTGGGGGTATGTCTACACTACTACCCTAGTTCGAACTAGGGTGGCTAATGTAGGCATTCGAAGTTGCAAATGAAGCCCGGGATATTTAAATCCCAGGCTTCATTTGTAACTTCGAATGACTACATTAACCCCCCTAGTTCGAACTAGGGTGGCTAATGTAGGCATTCGAAGTTGCAAATGAAGCCCGGGATATTTAAATCCCAGGCTTCATTTGTAACTTCGAATGACTACATTAACCCCCCTAGTTCGAACTAGGGTGGCTAATGTAGGCATTCGAAGTTGCAAATGAAGCCCGGGATATTTAAATCCCAGGCTTCATTTGTAACTTCGAATGACTACATTAACCCCCCTAGTTCGAACTAGGGGGCTAGTGTATCCATACACTTAGAGAGTGTTAGTGAGTACAGTATGTCTGTTAATTCAGGTTGGTTTTCAATGGCCTCCTGGAAGGGAATGTTTAATTCCGCAGCCACACATTTAAAAAAGTCTTGAAAACGTGCAAGGTCATCTGAGGTAGTTGAAGTTGGAGGCTCAGTCACTTCCTCTGCTGAGGCAAGTTCATTTGACTCCAGGGATACGTCTGTAACTTGGTTGGGAGGGTCCCCTTCCTGTGCTTGTTTTGTGGGTGGGGAGTGTGGCGAAGGGAAATATTACACAGGATGTCATTTTTGGTCATGCTGGTGTTTTTGGCGAGGCTGCTAGTTGTTCCATTATTGCCAGTGAAGGTATGGCATTGGTGAAGTTACCAGGGATTACCATAACATGGAGGCATGTTCCCATATTGAGAGTATGATGTGGAAAAGTAAATAAACGAATCTGTATGGGGTGAGTTTTCTGGAGAAAACCCCACACCAGGGTCATCTTCAGATTCAGATGAAAATCTTTCTCGAGATAATGTCATCTCAGACTGAGAAATGGTGAATTGAATGTGGAGGAGACTAATAAGTCTCTATGGGTATGTCTACACTACAGCACTATTTCGAATTAACTTAATTCGAAATAGTAAATTCAAATTAAGCTCATTCGAAATAACGCATCTAGACACAAAAACTATTTCGAAATAGAGTTTTGCTATTTCAAAATAGCGCGTTCACACTGAGTGGACCCTGAACCAAAGTTAAAGCTGGCCGGAACCAGTGCTGGCAGGACATCAATTTAGGACTTAGTGTATGGGGCTGCTGCCTGAGGCTAACTGAGCTCCGTGCTTAAAGGGACCTTACCCCCACCCCAGACTGCCAGTTCTCAGGATTCCCCACTTGGTTGTCTACCTCGATGAGGGACGGCAAAGCAGTCCTGTCTTGGAGTGCCATGAGTGACTGCACTCAGGACACCACAGCACTCGGCCACATGGAGCCAGAGCTGCCCCTGGGCACGCCGGTGTGTCTCGTGGAGTCGTTGCCATCAGCCCGGCTGCACTTGCTGCAGGCTGCCACCCGGGAGGTCCATCAGGGGGCTGTCAGGATCCAGGAGGCCCTGAGGGAGAGCGTCCACCCCAAGGAGCCCTCAGAGCCTCCCCGGTCCTCTCCACCGGGGGCTAGTGCCCCATTTCTCCCTCATGTCCTTCCACTTACCCCTTCCTCGGCCCCCTTCCTGATGTAAAATAAAATACACATATGTTCAAAAATAGAAACTGGGTGTATTAAACCAAACTGGGGGGGGAGGGGATGGACCTCTCGGGAGACTGGGAAAAGGAAGTGGGAGCGGGGAGGGGGAAACATGGGAGGAGGGAGCTGGTAGGGGAAAGCAAGAGGCAGAAGGGGGAGGCGAAGCTCAGGGCTCAGAGTTGGGGGTCTCGCCAGAGCAACTTGACTTTCATGCTAACCTGCTCCTGGGTTCACATGTGGCTTTCGGTGGCCAGGCTGGCAGCTATCCTGCTGTAGACGGCCGCGTTCCTCTGTCTAGTGCGGAGATCATGGATGTTGGGGGCATCCCCCCCAAACCTGAATAAAGTCCATGATCTCCACCCTGGACCAGGAAGGCACCCGCCTTCTCCAGCCCCTGTCAGGCTCCTGGGAGCTGGCAGAGTGCTCCTGGGGAGCAGTGGAGGGCTGGCTGCCGGTGGCTTGCTGGCTCATGTTTTGAGTTCACTGGGTTAGGGGCACCGGTGGCCACTGCTGGCTCTGGGCTGGCAGGCTTAGAGCTGGCACAGGCACTGGGGCCAGGGTCTACCCCTTTAATGGCTCCAGGGCTGGGGGAGAGGAGAGTAAGCTTTCCTGGTTGTGCCCAGAGTGGTCACCAGAGCTCCCTAGGAAGAGCTAGAGGCCCCCTATTTCGAATTAAGTATCTACACATCACTTAACTTGAAATAGCTATTTCGAATTTGGTGTTACTCCTCGTGGAATGAGGTTTATCAAATTCAAAATAAGTGCTCCACTATAAGTGCTCAAAATAGTGGTTTGCGTGTGTAGACGCTATTAAAGTTAATTCGAAATAACTGTTCTTATTTTGAATTAACTTTGAGTGTAGACATACCCCATGTTGTGCATATTGGTGAGGTGGCATTGACGGTGCCATAGTAGGAAGCACTGCTGCTACCTGAAGGGTTGGATTATGCCTCAGTGCCAAGTGAAATACAGATGCGCTCGGCACCTCTGAGGCAGAGGCACTGGTGGCAGGAGTTATGGGAGGTGCAGCGCTCTCGTGCTGCATCAGCAAGGTAGTTTCAGTGCCAGATGTTATCGCAACTGAGGAGGCAGGCGACTTAAAGCCTGATGCCTCAGAGTTGGGGTTTGAGTGTCCCCCTTTGCCAGCTGTCTGCTAGTGGCTCCGGAGACGCTGGGGGGATCACAGGGGTTTAGGCACAGCGCCGCTGCTGTTCTTGGCACCAGCCGTGAAGAAGACACCAGCATCTCCTGAGGCAGGGATGAGGCTCACTTTTTGGAGGGCTTTTTGCCTCTGCTTTGTTTTGGTTTCTCAGGCTGTTGACCTGAGTGAGTTTTCAAGTAGAATTCACTTGAGAGGCAGGTCTCTGTCCTGTCACAACAACAATTTCAGTTTTGCACATTGCAGACATTTTTGAGGACCATGAGCCTCTCCAAGGCAGTGGACACATTGTGCATGTCCATCCGAGATGGGGATAGACTCTTTGCAGGCAGAACTGCGCTTAAAACCCAGTGAGCCAGGCATGGCGCTGAACAACTATCGAACTACAGAAAGGGAACGAACTGGAAGAGAAAGAAAAAAACCTATTCTCGTCTAGTCTATTGTTGTAAAAAAACCTTTAGACTAAACTACCAACAACTGACCAACTAGTGATAAAAATCTTAGTTCTAAAAAGGGATTATTATCTCAAAATGCGCATGAGTTAGGGAACACTGCTCAGCTCTGTCTCCTGCCATAGGCAGTAGAGAAGGAACTTAGAAGGGGGGCGGGGGCTTGTGCATGCATGATGCCTGCCACCTAGGAGCACGTGACTGCAGACATGTGCAGTCATAGGGACACTACTCTAAAATCTCCGATCATTGCCTCAGCGGCGGCGCACTGGCCTAACGAGGAGCAACCACGGGGACATCTTTCAAAGAAGCAGCAAAGGCTCTGCTGGCACAGACACTTATCATATATATAGTAGCTCAGTGTCTGTGAGTCTGTAACGCCGAAATGCTGGCTGTTCACTCAGGGCAGCTCATGCTGCATGGGGAGTGCGGGGCCCAAACATTTGCTTGCACCGCTTGCTCCCCCACAGCAGCCCAGCAGAGAGGCGTAGAAGTCAGCCAAGTGCCACGGTGGGAGGTGAAAGGGGACGGGGCAGTGATGTACGGTCTGACAGCGGCTCTAGGCCCTGCCCCCTGGCCATGAACATCATCGCCCCACCCCCCTTCGCCTCCCGCTGTGGCACTCGGCTGACTTCTCCACTGCTCAGCCTGGCCACCGCGTGGGAGTAAGCGGCACAAGCGACCGATTGGGCTCCACGCCCCCCATGCAGCACGGGGAGTGCGGAGCCCAAACGGCCATTTGGGCTCCGTGGTCCCCCAAGTGAGAGGCAGGAGGGGGAGGAGAAGAGAAAGAGAGAGACAGAGAGGCAGGAGGTGGAGGAGAGCTGAGAGAGAGAGAAAGAAAGAGAGGAGGGAGGCAGTAGGAGGAGGAGGAGAGAGAGAGAGACGGAGCGAGAGACCGGAGGCTCAGTAGAGAAGACCGACATGGAGGAGAGACCTGAAAATCCCATCTTATGATGGGCTAATTGGCTAGTCATATATATAGTAGCCCAATGTCTGAGAGTCTGTAACGCCGAAATGCTGGCTATTCCCTCTGTGCGGCACTGTTACCTGAAACGACTACACACTGTGTGAAGAAGAACTTTCTTTTATTAGTTTTAAACCTGCTACCCATGAATTTCATGTGGTGTCCTCCAGTTCTTCTATTATGGGAACTAATAAATAACTTTTCTTTATTATTGTGGCATTGTTCTATATAATTGCAAACTGTTGGTTAACTACTAAGACACATTGTATAGGATGGGGAATAGCCTTCCATCTGAGTAGCCAGGAAGAGTCTGTTTTATGCTGAGAAGGAAGAAACCTAAAGCCCATGACCTCCTGCAGACTGAAAGAACTCCATTACAACCCAGACTTAAATCGCAACAATGGTCCTAAAGCATCATATATATAGTATCCCAGTGTCTGTGAGTCTGTAACGCTGAAATGCTGGCTGTTCCCTCTGGGTGGCCCATGCTACATGGGGAGTGCAGGGCCCAACCGGCCACTTGCGCCGCTTGTTCCCCCGTGGCAGCACAGCTGAGCAGCGCAGAAGTCAGCCGAGTGCCACGGCGGGAGGCAAAGGGGGCGGGGCGGTGACGTACACAGCCAGGGGGCGAGGCCTGGCCGATCGTGCATCCCCAACGGGGACAGAGGAGAGAGAGTGAGAGGCAGGAGGGGGAGAAGAGAAAGAGAGACGGAGAGACAGGCAGAAGGCAGAGGAGAGCTGAGAGAGAGAGGAGGATGCAGGAGGAGGAGGAGAGAGAGAGAAAGAGACACGGAGCGAGAGACCGGAGGCTCAGTAGACAAGACCGAAGTGGAGGAGAGACCTGATAATCCCGTCTTGTGATGGACTAATTGGCTAGTACTAAATAATGATCACAAACATGCCAGGGCCTAGCTATGCACACATCCGTTTGTGGGCAGCTTCTCAAGCACAGAGCACTGAGAGCACCACCCACATCCCAGCTTTTGAGACTGTGAGGGCCTGATGTCTATTCCGTGGCTTTGCCAGGGCGGGCAGTGTGTTGCGACTGGTACCTGTGCAGTTCAAGCTGTGGCTGTCGCCAGGTTTCCAGGAGTTCCCCCTGGGGGGAGAATAGCCTGGCTGGCACTGGCAGTTGTAACTCCCAGGGGTGTTGACGCAGGAGTTGTGAAGGCCACAGACCGAAGGGACCTGAGAACATTCATCAATATCTAAACAGAAGAACAAGGAATTAATTATTAATCATAGTGACACTTACAGGCCGAAACCAGGATCAGAGGCCCATTGTGCCAGACGTGGGAGCCAGGGGGGCAAAGGACTCGCCAGGCCCCTGAACAAGATGGAGATAATGTCATGGTGATAATTTTCTCTCCCCACATCTCCTTGCCCATTACTGCAGGGCCATGTGCTCAGAGGCAGGGTACCCGCCCCTCCCCCATAACCAATAGGAATGGAGACTGCTCGGCTGTCGCTCAACACGTCTCCACCATGGGTCTCCATCCATACGGCCCCATTTGGTGCATCTGGTGCACCCTGTTGCCCAGATTTCCTGTGTCCGTTAAAAGCTTTAGTTCATTCCTTACACCCCATCCCCAGCCCTGCGCCAGCCCAGCCCAGTGTGTCAGAGCAGGGCAAAGCCCCAGTCCCAGCTCGGCTGATGGCAAATCTGTGTTGTTTCGGAGGAGTTGATGGAGCAGCAGCACCGAGGTCCTGACCCTAATGACTCTGCACCCATCACCCTGGATGAGGATCTGGCCCCACAAAAGCCACCCTAGTGTGTTGAGCACGGGGCAATGAGCAGCAAAGGGCTTTGGTGCCCGGCCATGGGCATCCCTGAGAGCAAAGGCTGCGCGGAGACGGCTGTGGTCCCAGGGGTGCTGGCTCTCACCAGGCCCAGGAGGGCACCGGACACAGAGCCGGGCCGAGGGGCTGGTGTGCACCGGGAGTCCCTCCATGACTGTCTGGGGGCAGGAGAGACCTGCGGGGAGAACACCTTCAGCTTCCCACTGGCTCTCACCTGAGCAGTTCAGAGGGGCGACGCTGCCGGGCAGCCAGGAGTCTCCTTTGGAAGATCTGTAGCCAGGTAAACACTTGCAGGAAAAACTTCTTGCATTTTTAAGGCATGAGGCATTCGGGCCGCAGGCCGGGGGGACTTGGGAACATTCATTGATCTCTGGACAGGAGCAAACAGAACCGGAGTCATTCAGTGGCCCAAAAAAGTGCTTGTGTTACCTCCAGTGCGTGGGTTTTCTGTGTCCCCCTATGGGCCAGTGTGCAAGAAGACACAGAGCTCACCAGTGGTGGGCTGCCTGTAGACTTCCCCCCTCGTCTTCCTCCCTCCCCTGCATGCTTCTCATGCACTGGGGCACCAGACCCCCCCCCCTCACATCTTCCTCCTTCTCCTCCCTCCCCTTTTGGTGACTTATAGGAGCACCACGAATCACCTGATATGCCCTCCATACCCCCTCTGACGCCTCCCTCCCTGGGCTGGAACATGAACATCAGCTGTTTGTGGCATTCCAGCTGTGGGAGGGAGGGAGAGGAGTAGGTAATTGAGGGGCTCCAGGGCCCCAGTGCCGGGAAGGTGCATGAGGGAGGGACACATGGGGGTCACAGGAGGAACCAGGACGCAGGAGGAACCCTAGGGAGCCGCAGGCTGCTCCAGCCCTCTGAGATGAAAAAGAGTCAGTCATGCAGCCCACTCACTATCCTGGGTTGCCCATCGCTGCTTTCCACTGTAGAGATCCCCTGTTTGTGCATCAGCCAAGACAGTAGCTGTTATATTTGGAGCCAGCTAATAAACCCCATGGATCACGGTTAGTGTAAAAACATCATGAATGGAATATTTACCATTCAGGTCTGAAAACATCTGCCATTTAGGAACACAGGGATGGCCAGACTGGGTCAGACCAGTGACCCTTTAAGCCTAAATCTGCTTTCATCAGTGGCTGGCACTAGACGCTTCAGAAGATCATGTCAGATGTTCTTGCTATTTATATAAAAGTCTTTTCCTTCTTCGACATCTGATCAATATGCACCCTGTGTGTCCTGTGGCCAGGAGTTCCACAGGTTAATTCTGCTTCTGGTAAAAAAAAAAATCCTCTTTCCCATTTTCGGGGCTGGATTGTGGCTGGCCCTGACATGACGCAGAGGAAGAGGCAACCCATGAGGAATTTCTCTCCCCTCTCCTTTGGAGGGTCACACTTTTCTCCCTATTCTTCTTGCTGTATCATTGTGTCCCCAAAAAATGTGGGACAGAGGCAGGCCACAGTATGCTCCTCCCCTCTGCACTTGCTAAGAGCTGCCTGGTTACTTGGAGGAGGGAAGGACTTAGCTGCTTAGAATCTGAGCTGCTTAGGGGAGGAATTCCCCAGTCCACCCTGCCCAGCCCCAGGGCTGTGTGCAGACTGAACTGCGGCTTTTCCACTTTATTGGGTGTCCCCTGGTCAGAGAGGATCAGATTGACCTGTGGGGAAAGCTGAGTCACTAAATCTGCTTGGCCACATCTCTCCCTTCCTCGCTCTCCTCATCCCTGCATCCCCCTTTCCAGTCAGCGACGTCCTCGATACAGACCAAGTGGAAGACCCTCCCCGGGTCACTAATGCCAGTAACAGAACAGTCGCCCCGTTACACGGCTCCCCTCCCCCAGCTGGGCTCAGGAACTCACACTCACCCTGGCACGTCACGCTTCAATGGGCTTCACACTCATTCTTTGGTCCTACCCGCCCGCCCCAAGTGAGAGAAGAGGCAGAAGAGGTGGCTGAGGATGTTGGATGAAGGCAGCTGGACCCTCTTCTGGAGGCATCAGGTGAAAAGCCAGAAAAGAGCTGCAGGTCCCTCCCCTGCAGAAGGAGTGGAAAAGCCGGCGGTGGAAAAGATCGGAACAAGGAGCAGGTGCAGCAGGTGCTAATCCTGTGAACTTGCTCTGATACTACTGTGTGGAAAGGGGCTGTTATGCCCATTTTCCAGATTGGGAACTGAGGCACGGAGTCCAAAGCAGTAATTTGGGTACCCCATTTCCGTTGGAGACCCCCAGGACCCGCTATGTCAGAGTCCTTCACTTTCTGCAGCCAAGTACCGCTCCCGCTGACCTCGCTTGCAGCTGGGAGTGCTCAGTACCTCTGCAAATCAGGCCCTAATGGTTCAAGTGAGGGCCTAGAAGATAAACAGCCACACCTTAAAATCTGGGATAAATGACTTGCCCAGCATCAGACCAGAAATCAGTGGCAGAGGCAGAGAGACTTCAGTTCCCCAGAGCAGCCCTCAGCTGCCTCAACTGGAGGACCATCCTTTCTTTTCCGGAAAGCCCCTGCCTCGTCCTCCTGCAGCACATACAGGTAACAACCTCTCTCACTATCCAACCCTTACTATGCCCAGTGCAGATCTAACCTGTGCATTTAAAGGGGCGGGAGACTGGTGACAAAAATAGGCTGTGATCATGTAAGGAAAGTCTGGGACATAACACACATGGGGGCAAAGACCGCTGGATTCTGGTATTTCCTAACTTTGGAGAGCTTGACTTGCATCCTTTAGCACAGTGGCTCCCAAATTATGGGACACACCCCATCACAACCCCAACAGGTGCATGGAGGAATGTTGTGGGGTGTAGTAGAGCCTGGACAACCCCATCTTGACCAATAATGTCTGCATTGTCCGGCCCTGCCTTGATTGGACTAACAATGGCTGTCTTGTCCAAAGTGCAGATTTCTAACAAAGCAAAACCTGGCCTGACTCAAGTCTAGTGCACGAAAGCATGCAGGCCAGGCTGAGGCGGGGAGCTTTGAGAGTCAGGAGTGCTTTAAACAATCGTACATAGGGAGTATGGTGTAGTGAAAAGAAGCCAAGAATATTAGGAAAAACCTGGTAGTGGTACATAGTATTTCTGATAAGCAAATATCACAGATACAGCCATAGAACTGTCAATCAAGTATGGTCTGAATAGCAGGACGTATCTCAAATATCGGCATAATACGTAATTAATTGGTAGCTATTACTAGAATGTCCAGGTCGAGTATAAATATAGATGTAGAAAAGATAATCAGTGGGAGGGATTGGGTAAAGTGTCCCCACTACTTTATCTGCTGTATCGAAACACTGCGGCTATGTCTACATTCGCAGCATCTTGCACGAGTAATATGCAAATGAGGCTAAACGTGGACTATCGCTGAGCCTCATTTGTATACCTAATGAGCCACTATTTTATTCAGAAGAGTCTTTTGCACAAGAAGGAGCGTCTACGCTGCCCCTTCTTGCGCAAGAGAGGGAGGGAAGGGGGGCATGGTGCTGACGTACATGGTCAGGGGGCGTGGCCGTGTAGTCAGCATTACAGACGCACAGACACTGGGCTATTATCTATATGATGACCAGGTTGAGTATAAAGATAGGTGTAGAAAAGATAATCAGTAGGAGGGGTGTTCCCATTACCGTATTCACTGCAACAGGCAAATGAACCAGTTCCTACTGCCCGGTGCATTGTAGACACCTTTGTGCGTGGGAAAAGAAAGAGGCCACGACCTCCCATCTGACAATCCGTAAGATCTTAGCTGTAGAACTGTGTGTGACTTACAGAAATAAGCACGTTGAGCCATATCCTTAAAATGGAATATCTTGTGATTTGTGCTAAGAGTAGGTGTTATATTATTGTCTGTGCTACATCTCCCATTCATTGAAATAAGATCTGTGTAACTTTGCGTTGCTTTACTTTACTATTCTGTGCATAATAAAGTTAGGGATAGAGCTTATCCTTCATGTTTGCTGGCTCCTTTCGTATTTAACATCCGAATCACATGACAGAGGGATATGACAAGGCCTGGAACAGCCCCCTAATGGGTGCACCTTGCATGACCAGGGCCTAGCAATGGCTAGTCACACCTGTTCAGTGGGAAACACAGAAGAAATTGGCGCTCGTCATGGAATTAAAAGGCAGCTCTGTTTAGCCCCCTGCAGAGCACATGGCTTCCTGGCAAGTGGGGAAGAGGGAGGCAGACACAACGAGGGATATGACAAGGCCTGGAACAGCCCCCTAATGGGTGCACCTTGCATGACCAGGGCCTAGCAATGGCTAGTCACACCTGTTCAGTGGGAAACACAGAAGAAATTGGCGCTCGTCATGGAATTAAAAGGCAGCTCTGTTTAGCCCCCTGCAGAGCACATGGCTTCCTGGCAAGTGGGGAAGAGGGAGGCAGACACAACGAAGGGAATCAGAAGGGAACGGAAAATCAGAGAAAGAGGAGGAGGAAATGGGATGCAAAGTTTTTTGCCCGTTCAAAGCCCCCTCCAGTGGCAGGACACATAGGGTTTGAATTTGGAGATTTTGCCCAGGTTTCCAGGCATCAACTTACCCGCGCTGGAGAAATGAGTCTCCTTGATACAGATGAGCCAACAAAAGCCTGAAAGAGGAGAAACAAGCAAGGATGTTCTTATGGCGCTGGCTGGGTAAGGCCGCAGGAGATGAGTTTATTCCTGGAACTGCTGGCTGAGCTCAGCCAAGTCACAACCCCCTGGTCCATGTCCCATGGGGCCAGCTTCTCTTCTCCGGTTAGACACTCTCCTGAGCAGACTCTGTGTCCACCCAGCTGGGTTCAGAGACCTCAGTAGCTCTTGTGGAGCAAGGGGCCCATGTGTCACTTCCTGGCCAAGGAGTAGCAGCAGAACCAGGAACGTCAGGGCAGCAAGCCCCTAGGGGAGCATCTCCCAGCAGCTGGACTCTGTGGGGAGGGGTGGCTCCAGGGGGCATCATTGGTCAGCGCCAGGCTCCTTAAGGGGAGAGGCAAGAGTGCACTGGGATTGGGGAGCAAGTTCACCAGGCAGCCAGCCAGAGCCCCAGCTCCCAAGGAGCCAGGGAACCAAACAATTTGGGTGACCCCTAGCAGCCTCCAATCCCCCGGCTCCTGGCAGGGTGCAACAGTTTTCAAACTGTGCAAACCATTTGCAAATCTTTGTGCTAAACGGGGGAGCGGAAATCTGAGGGGCACATGACCCTGTGTGCCCCTCCCCCGTCAAGGCGTTAACTCTCGATAATCAGAATAATGAGTCTTCCCTGGGCCAAGGCAATTACCTCAGGAACCAGACCCCAGATGGTGTAAATTGTATAAGAACAGCCAGAGTGGGCCAGACCAGAAATCCATCTAGCCCAAAATCCCACCTCCCGACAGGGGACAATGCCAGGTGCCCCAGAGGGAGTGAACAGAACAAGGAATCATCCCGTGTTGCCCTTTCCCAGTTTCTGACAGACAGAGGTTAGGGACGCCCTCCCTGCCCAGCCTGGCTAACAGCCATCAATGGACTCGTCCTCCATGAGTGTATCTGGCTCTGTGTTGAGCCCTGTTCAAGTCCCGGCCTGCTCAACATCAAAAGTCTCTCTGGTGAACGTAAGGAAAAGGAAGCCAAGTCACATCGAGTGGGAGGGCTTTGCAGCAAACCAGCCAGGTCCCACCAAGAGCTGAACTCAGATGCAGGAGTCAGAGCCCTGAGCACTGACCATGGCACCATGAGACCTGCCTCCTGACAGTGGCCAATGCAGCAGTTTAGCCGGCGAAAGCCCCACAAAAGGACATGGGAGTCTGGCTCATTCTGTTCCCAGACATGCAGGTATCAAGTGATCTCCAAAAGCTGGGCTCACTAACCACCCCTGAAAACTCCAGGCCCAGCTGAGACCCAGAGAATTCAGAAACACTCCCTGGTTGAGGTGCCAGGAGCCCAACATCTCAGGTCAAACCCCTCTGGAGCTGGGAAGGCAGGTGGAAAGCTCAGACGACTCCTGCTGGCAGCGCCTCTGCACACAGGGCTGCGGGGAGCCTCTCTAAGCCCCCACTCACAACTACAGTGGCTCACGGTGCCGTCTGAGTTCCAACAAAAGGGGCCAATCGGTGAGGGATTGAAGAGCTGTCCACATTCACAGCCCAGCCCATGAGGCAGTTTCCATTTGGGAACAAAGGGGTCCGGACACTAGAAAATAGCAAAATATGTTTCTGTGTGTGTGTGTTTCCTCCTCTCTAGATGTTTTTAGCAAGTTTTTATGTCTCTCTGGAGTCTCATAGTTTACATTTTTATATCTATTTGTGTTGGCTTACAAAATTTTTAACACACATCTCGAATACTTTAAATAGAGGCAGGGTAAAAATAATTTAAAGAACGAAACAACGAAATATTTTTAACCAGCAAAGGAAGGAGGATCTGGAGTAGGGATGTTAAATTTCAATTAATCAGTTCATCGAGTAGTCAATGGAATTTCCATCATTTACTTGATTAGGAGATAAGGGGGGCACCTGTTATCCCGCTGGGCCTCTCTTTTTTAAATGTGCAAGAGCCGCCTACAGTTCTTGGGAGAGAGGCAGCAGGAACCCGCGCCAGCAGAGACTGAAGCAGTCCCCGCTGGTGCAGGTTCCCTTCTATGCCTTTTCATTTGAAATATACAGGTTTCTACTCAACTAGTCCAGTGTTTCTCAACCGTTTTTCATATAAAAGGTTACCGCTTTTAAAAAAATTATAAGTACCTCTAGTACAATTTTCAGATACAATTTTTTTTCTACTATTGCAACACATTTGTTTAAACAACTTAATCGTAGTCAGGCGGGTGATGAAATTTTTGGGTGTAAAATGTAGAAAAATAATAAAGCGCTGTAAAACGTAAAACAAAATTCAGTTTTCTCCAAATGTCAGTTGTGTTGATGTACTCCCCCTGACTTCTCTCGAGTACCCCAAGGGTACTCGTACCACTGGTTGAGAAACACTGAACTAGTTGACTAGTCCCTTACATGCCTTATCTGAACCAGCCTCCCCGTGGGACTAGGAGGCGCCAACAACCCAGCTAGGTGTAGGGTGAGGCTGGATACGTGTATATACAGGACTATGTGGTAGCAGGGTTGTGGAGCTCTCAGATCTGTCTCTTTCTCTTGACAGTCCCTCCCAGCCCTTGGACCCCAGCTGAGGGTGGACCAGCCCAAGCTACCTACAAAGAGTTAAAATCTTTACCTGTGGGTTGGCAAAGCCCTTGCTTTGGCAAAACCCATGTCTCTTTCACACGTCAGGTAACCCCTGTGCCTCCCCCTTCACTCCTGGTGTGGAGAGAATCTGTGCTGGGAAGGGCTGACGTCACCGCAAGTCCTTTCTGCTGCCTATTCTATTATTGCACCTGACATTTGTTGGCCGAGGCAGGACTGGAAGGGGGTGATAAGCTGGGTGCAGGGAAGGACTTGAGTACAGGGGCTGGGCTGGTTAGAGGGGAGGGTGGGTCCCCACAACTCCACAGGCATGGGGGAGCCTGGGGGCCAGCTGGCCTCTGCATAGGACCTGGGAGACATTTACAGAGCTCTGGGCAGAGGCAGCAGTGGGGCTGGCCCTGGAGTTCCTCAGCCAGGACTCTGCTCCTGATCCACGCCCACACTGCCTCCAGCATCTGCACCAAACAGGCTCAGAGTGGGTTGGGCCTAGGTGCATTCGGTGGGGGCAAAGTGGGGGGGCCTTCTCTGCTCCTCCCAGCCCCTCCTCCACAGCTGCCAGGGGCCTTTTCTCCCCCACCCTCAAGGGGCCTTTTCTCCTCCTCCAGTCCCACCCTGGCTGCCAGGAGCTTTTTCTCTTGTCCCCCAGCCCTTCCAACTGCCAGAGGCCTTCCCCTTCCTCTGGAGCTGCAGGCAATGGCTGGGGAAAAGGGGGGGATTATTTTAAAGATGTTCACAATATTGCCCCCTTGCTTCTGTACTCTCTTCAGAATGGGGTGGCTGGAGAGCTGTGGCTGTTGGCCGGGTGCCCAGCTCGGAAGGTAACACCCACAGCAGAGTGAGGGTAGCAATATGGTTCCGTGCCACCCTTGCTTCTGCACTGCTTCCTTGAGAGCTGGGCAGCCGGAGAGGGGAAGCTGCTGACTGAGGACCCAGCTGTGCAGGCAGCAGCGCAGAAATAAGAGTGCCCATACCATGCCACGTCATCCTCAGTTCTGTGCTGCTGATACTGATGGTGCTGTCTTCAGAGCTAGGATCCTGGCCAGCAAGCCACCACTCTCCAGCTGCCTACTCTGAAGGTAGCGCCACTGCCAGCAACAGCACAGATGTACCGCAGCAGCCCTCTCCCCCGCCAAAAAATAACCTTACAATTCCCCACAACTCCTTTATGGGCCAGGTCCCCTACAATTATAACACCATCACATTTCAGATTTCAGTAAGTGAAATCATTAAATTTACCATAAAATCCTAATCCCATAATGGTGAAATTGACTAAAATGGACCAGCCAATTTGGTAGGATTCTAATAATGATCCTTGGTAAGTTCTACCACTGGCTACTTGTCCTCACTGTTATAATTTGCCACTATGGATTTGTTTAGTTTCAACTTTCAGCCACTGGATCTTGTTAGACCTTTCTCTGCTACATAGAAAAGCCCATTATTCTCCATGTAGGTGCTTATAGACTTAGCTCAGGTCACCCTTTAGCCTTCCTTTTGTTAAGCTCTAAGAATCATTAAGAAAGTGACAGAGAATAAGACAGAGAATATCTTACTACCTCTATACAAATCCATGATATGCCCACTTCTTGAATACTGTGTGTAGATATGATAATTGCATCTCAAAAAAGAAAGATCTTAGCATTGGAAAAAATTCAGATAATTAGGAGTATGGAATAGCTGCCACATGAGGAAAGATTAATAAAACTGGGACTTTTCAGCTTAGAAAAGAGACAACTAAGGGTACGTCTACACTACAACACTATTTTGAAATAACTAGCACTATTCCAAAATAAGTTAGTCCACATCTACACAGCCGGCAGTTATTTCGAAATAGTGTCACAATACTGTCAAGCTGGAGGACTTCTTACTCCGACTCCTGTAGCCCTCATTATACAAGGAATAAACAAAGTCAGAGGAAGAGTGCTCTACTTCATAAGTGCTGTATAGACACTCTCTATTTTGAAATAAGATGCGCAATTGACCAAGCTCAATTTGTATAGCTTATTTCAAGTTAAGCCATGCAGTGTAGATGCACCCTAAGTGGGGATATGATAGAGGTCTATAAAATCATGACTGGTGTGAAAAAGGTGAATAAAGAAGTTATTTACTCCATCCCATAATTCAAGAACTAGGGGTCACCAAATTAAATTAATAGGTACCGTAGCTGGTTTAAACAAACAAAAGGAAGTATTTCTTCACACAACGCACAATCAGCCTGTGGAACTCCTTGCCACAAGATGTTGTGAAGATCAGGATTTTAACAGTATTCCAAAAAGAGATGGATAAATTCATGGAGGACAGGTTCATCAATAACTTATTAGCCAGGAATGGCGTCTGTAGCCTCTGAGGTCTGTCAGAGGATGAGAATGGGTTGACAGGGGTTGGATCACTTGGTGATTCTGTTATGTTCACTCCCTCTGAGGCACCTGTCATTAGCCACTGTTGGCAGACAGGAAACTGAGCTAGATGAACCATTGGTCTGGCCCAGTATGGCCGTTCTTATGTTGAGTTAAATAGATGGAGCTCCTGGAATATTTCCCTAGCCTTTCCATTCCACTCCGTTACTCATTCTCATAACTACTTCTGACCCCTCTCCAATTTTTTCAACACCCTTCCTGAATTGTGGGCCCCACCACTGGACACAGGATTCCAGCAGGGGTCGCACCAATGACAAGGTAAAATCACCTCCCTGCTACTACTCGATATTCCCCTGCCCATGCTACCCAGATGGCATTTATCCCTTTCGTCACAAGGTCACACTGGAAGCTCATGTTCTATGGGTAGGCCATCATGACCCCCAAATCTTTGCTTCTACATGCTGTGAGCACAGTCAACACCAGTGTTCCTAGACGTACATCCAGAGGTTTAGTCCCACTGAAACGTATATTGGTTGTTTCCCTCCTTAGGGATCCAGATCTCTCTGTCTCCATGCCCAGTACTGTCCCTTATGACCTCTTCCTGAACCTGCAAGGCTTCTGCAAACTGTCTCGCTAATGAATGACTCTGGGTGCCTCCAGATCACTCATCAAATCAGCACTTATGTGAAAGTCACCGATTTGGGCTGAATTCAATTCACGACCCCTCAAAGAGCCCAACAGTTACAATTGTGGTTGCCCCTTTTCGGCTTGAGTGGCTACTCAAAGCTCTGAGCTTCTGCTAATTGGGAGCAGAAATGGGTGATGGGATCTGGTGTTTCCTTTGATCCGATTGGGTTTAGTTACAATCCTGCCTCTCCAAATGCAGGAGGGACCAAAACCTGGGTAGAGCTTCTTTGCTTATAGTCCCAAGCCCCTTTCACCAGCACCAGACCCAAAAGCATTTTGGCAACATCTTCCAGGGTCATTCAAACAGTTCAGTGGCCCCACCTAAACAAGGCAGCTGTAGCCCTCCCACCCAGTGGGGCCCCCAGACCACGGGAGAAGAGGAGGAGGCTTCCACGGGTCTAGCAGTGAGGGCATCCCAGGTGGCCCATCTCCTTGCCCTGCAGCTTTTTGCACTGCTGAGGGAGCAGCCGCCACGGCCCTGTGACCTTCTTAAAGGCTCCTCTTTGGCTTTCTTCCTGCATGCAGGGGATGGTTCTGCCACTGAGGGGAACATTCCTGGTTTCTTGGCTACATGGGCCCACTGTTGACTCAAATCCAGTTTCTCATCCACTGTAGCCCCCAGGGCCTTTTCTGCCAAACAGCTGCGTAGCCAGTGGGAGCCCAGCCTGTAGCCATGCTTGGGATTCCTCTGTCCCAAGGGCAGGGCCCTGCACTTGTCCTTTTTTAACCTCATGAGATTTCTTTTGGCCCAATCCTCCAGTTTGGTCGCTTGTTCTGGCAGTGGCCACAAGCCTTCAGGCTCGGGGGGACAGGGCCTTTCGCCCCAGCAGTAGCCCCCCCCCAATCAGGATTATTCTCCAAGTCTGGCCTATGAGGCAACTTGGGTGACGGCACCTCCCTGGGCTGGGTCCTCTACCCAGAGCCCCGCCATTCTGCTCAGCTCCAGGATGCTCCAGCCCCCAGCTCCACTCTCTGCTGCGCTTCCTCCAGTCCCCGGGGATACTTCTCCGGCCCCTCTGGCTCGGTGGCTGCAGCCCTGCTCCCAGCATGGATCTGCTCTCAGCGCTGGCTCTGCAGCTCTGCCCAACACTGATCTGCTCCCCGGGCTGCTTCTTTGGCTGACCTGGCTCTGCTCCCCCACCCCTGCTCAGGCCCCTGCTCTCTCCTGAGCTTAGCCCCACTCAGCCTGGCCCAGGCAAATCCAGCTCACCCAGTGGTCAAGACCCCTGATGCCCTGACCCCCTCATTAGCCTGCCCGGCCTGCCAAACAGGCTGAACAGAAGCGATTTCCTCTCCCCATTGCTCCTGGGACTGGCAGTCTCACGGTTCTGATCTCTTATGGACCCTTCCCCCTCCTTTTGGTACGGGGGCGAACCAGCCCAAACCCCACTGAGTGTCAGGGGGCCAACACTGATCATCCATTCCTCTGAGCTTCCCTCTGTTTCTTGTTGCCCCTCCCTACACAGCTCGACTTTCCCTGCCTAACACACACACCCAGTCAGACTAATATGCCCAGGGCATCCCCTGCCTCCATGCTGCTAGTGTCTGGGCAGGTTCCCTCCTGCCTTGCCACCTCACTGGCCTTAAGTTAAGGTGGGTTTTTCTCAAGCCCCCATTGGAGGAAAATAACCCAATTCCTTGCAAACTTACCTACGAGGGGGGTGATAAACTGCACCCTCATTGTAGCCGCTGCCTTCTCCTGCCAGGCAAGGAAACTGCACCGACTTTATCCTGTTCTTATCTAGCAGAGGAAGTTTGCTGAGTGACACTGTTTTTTCTGCTGCTGCTTTATCATGATGTTTCAGCTCAGCGCTGTTCCTCTTGCAACAGGCCAGTTCCTTCTGCCTAGGACAATCTCTGGGCATCTAACATGTTTATTATTAGTGTCCCCCAAATAACACCCCTGCAATTGACAGGAAATATAGGGGAAGCTGCAGTCTTATCTATTTAGAAATTGAAAGTGGGAGGCATGGGGGTGTTATCTTGCATGGGCCTAAGAGACAGGACTCCTGGGTCTCATCCTTGCTTGAGAGGGGGCAGGTGATGCTGGTGATCTAATGCAGGGGTGGATAAGACTGGGTCTGTGGACTGGATCCAGCCCGCAGCTGCCCAACTGCTCACCCTCTCTCCAGCCAATTTAGACCAGGGAAGTGAGGAGCCTGTGAAGTCTCCTTCCCCGTCAGGAGCGCGTGGCACCAGAAGGAATCTCCAGCTGATGGTTCCCTGCAGGTACATGAGTCCCTGGCAGGGCGGGAATAGAGGGATCGAGAGACTTTGTGCACTCCGCTGCAGCCAGGCCAATCAGGGCCTGGGGGTGGGGAAGTGTGTGAAGTCCCCTCCCTCTGAGCCCCCACCAGTGGCCAGCCATGCCTGTAGAGAACAAAAGCTTCCAGCCAGAGGTCTTGCCCCTTTCACCTGAGACTCTGCCCCTTTAGGGGGCAGCTCGTGACCACTGTCAACATTTGTGAAGTGCCCCCCCCCCGCAGAAATTATTGCCCACCCCGATCTAATGTATAGAGCAGGAAATGGGAATTGGAACACCTGGGCTCTCTTCCAGGGCAGCATTACCTAGTGGTTAGTTATTAGGCATCAAAACTCAATGTAAAGAAGAAAACTCCATTTCATGGAGGACGGCATCACTTCACAATTTGTTTTCATCCCACTAAGGAATGAAACACAAAACTTTCAAAATTCTCTGTAAAAAAAAAAAAAAATCAGAGGGAAAAGAAAAATGCTTTTTGTTTTTCCTCATGCTTGCTGCCTTGAAAATGTGATCTTGCATGACACCGGCCCATCACACAAAACTCCACTGTCTAACAAAGTCAATTTGTAAAGGAAAACTTGAACCGTTTGGCTCCGAACACGTTAAAAATGAGACTCTGCCGGAACTCTCTTCTTTTTTAGCCCAGGACAAAAGTTCAGCAGAATCCAAACGCTTCTGCTCCAAAGGAGCCGTCCCATTCACTTCTCCCTGTCAGCGGGCCTGGGGCTTCGACTCTGCCCATGTATGGCTGCAGCTGCTCCCCCAGTGGCACAAATTGCTTCTGGTCCAGTAAACCGGGGGGCTGGGCCCCCGAGGGTGCCCTCACTACCGGCACTCATGCTAGCCTCCTCCTTTTCTCCTGCAGGCTGGGGGCCCTGTTCAGTGCAGGGACTGCAGCCACCATGTACTGTCTGCGGCTTCGGGAGATGCCTCGGGAAGGACATGCTGCCCCGGAAGGCAGGACCAATAATAAAGTACGGGGCCACGTGCAAGGGCACCAGTTGCACACACCTCACACTGGCCCTGCCTGGCATCTCGTCCCAGTTTTAGGAGGAGAGTAGTACCTAGTGGTGAGAGCACGTGGTTGGCACTCAGGCAAAGGAGCCCAGAAGCACTGCTGTGGCAATATACTCTAGTTTTCCGAGCACCTCCCTTGGGTGTGTCCCTAAGGCTGACAGCATGATTTAGAGATCTGATTACTAGATTGGGACTCAAGTGGTTTACTTGTTAGTCCCATCTCAGCCACTAGCTTGCTGTGTGAGGGTGGGGGTGGGTGGCCGGCACTGTACAGGCACAGAGCAGTATCCCTTTAAATCATGGTGAGTCCTCGCTTGCTGCTCACTAGGTTCTATTTTGGATGCTTCCAAAGCAGCAGGTGGTGCGGAGCCAGGCATCACATGTCAGTGAACACGCACCAAGTTGGGGCCGGTTTCCTTGTGGTACTTTTGTTGTGCAAAGCCCAAAATACACAACTGGGGGAGGGGGCCTGGCCAGCCCCTACAGAGTCCAGTGGCAGAACTGCTTTGATTCACAGGCTGGGAGGTTCACTGACTACAGGGTTAGATGCTGCAAACCCGGATTCCCTTCTGTTCAGCACTGACCTCGGCTGAGCCACCGCCCCTCGCTGTATCTTATTTCCCCCCTTTCATTCTGGGCCAGTCTGGGAGCCTGTTGGGTCTGGGGCCATGTCTCAGTAGGTGTTTGTACAGCTTTGTGTACAGCACTTACAGCACATTCAAACGCCGAGCATTGCTCACCCCGTTTTACAGATGGGAAAAACTGAGGCCTGGGGGCTGGCAGGACTTGCCCAGGGTTATCAAGCAGCAAAGAAGCGGAACCTGGGTTTCTACACTAGAAGTTCAACGTTCTGCCCCAAAGACCACAGAAATTGCTTGGAACAGCTGCAGGAAACATCATGCCCAGCGCTTCCGGTTCCTTTGGGCTTCTCAGAAAGTTGCACAATCACCGGACCCAGGGGAAATACTGAGAAACGATTGAATTCACCAGCACAATGCTGCACTGCATTCTGGTTCTGCTCCCAGCTCCCTTTTCCCTCTGCTACTAGGCATAGGCTGCATTTCCCTGCATTGTGGGGCTAGTGGGCCCTGTGGAAGCCTGGCACATGCACAACTTGGCCTTTATGCCTGGCTTTGCTCCTAGGTAATGTGGAGCAAGTTGCTGCCCCATGCTGTGCCTCAGTTTCCCCTTCTGAATGTAACCCAGAGGCTCTGAGAAGAGAGAGTGATGTCTGTGCTACAGCCTTAGCTAAAAGCCACTCAGATTTTACCTAATATGGCAGAGGCACATAGCTTTAAGTTCCTAAATTTGCAGGTTCAATCCCTCCTACTCATGACTAAAGTTTATCAGCTCTACATGTAGAACAGGGCTAATACTATGGACCGAAAGTTGCCAGCTGTCTGGTTTTCACCTGGACAATCCAGGGTTAGGCTTCTGTGACAGGGTGCCGTTTGACAAGCCCTGATACGAGGAAGTTACTCACCTTGTGCAGTAACAATGGTTCTTCAAGCTGTATGTCCCCCTGTGGGTGCTCCACTGTAGGTGTCGGGCTCTTCCCGGTGCTGCAGGTCAGAGATTCGTCAGCTGTAGTTCAGCCGGACTGCACATGCATGGTGGGCCTCTTGCGCCGTTTCTGAGTCTGCATGAGGTCCAGCTCCCGCCAGTTCCTCCTAATCCGGTCACATCTGAAAGACATAAAGAAGAGACTCTGAAGTGGGAAGGAGGGCAGGTGGTGGCACAGCCATGGAGGCACACACCTCAAAGAACCGTCATTACTGCACAAGGTGAGTAACTTCCTCTTCTTCTTTGAGTAGTGTCCCCATGGGTGCTCCACTGTAGGGGTATGTCTGCACTACAGCGCTATTTCAAATTAACTTATTTCTAATGGAGAGTAGGTAGCAGCTCCAATTCAGTAAGAATGCATCTCCGAGGGACTGTGCTCCAACGCCCACTCTGGAACAGTACTTGGGACCCTTTGTGTTGTGTTGTGTTGTGAATAGATATATAGTGGGGTACCCCCATCGTTGGAAGGGATGCCGTGTTATGCCGTGGTTGAGTTCCCACTCATAAAAAAAAATGTCTGCTGAGGGTGTAGGCAATAGTATTGTCCTTGCCTGGTAGGTATGTAGCATGACGTTGACCTCGTGACGAATGCACCAGTTCCATAATTGCATCACCTCTGCACAGAGGGATATGGACCGGGCTCTGCCATGCCGGTTGATATAGTAGACTGTGGTCATATTGTGGGTCAGCATTTGAATAGTGTGACCGCAAATGGTGGGTAGGAACTATTTGCAGGCATTGAATACTGCCCTCAGCTTGAGGAAATTGACATGCTGGAGAGATCCTTGTGCGATGCATTGCCCTTGAATGTGACATCCCGCACAGTGAGCTCCCCAACCCAAGAGGGATATGTCTGTCATAATCTGTATCATGAGTTGCGAACAATGAAATGGAACGCCGTTGAGGCTGTTGGCCTGAGGAAGCCCACCATGCCAGCGAGTACCATACTATCAGAGGTACCGACACTGGTTTGTGAACATTGAGATTGCCTGGGCAATAGATTAAAGTGACCCATTGTTGGAAGCATCTGAGATGCAGTCTCATGTGTTCCATGACGTAAGTTGTGGCTGCCATATGCCTCATGAGCTGCAAGCAGGTAAATATGGGGACTTTGGGGCTGATAGAAAGAGAGTGAACTAGGATTTGTATTGTGTGAAATATGGCTAGAGGAAGATAAGCCCTGGCTGTTGTAGAATCTAATCCTGCCCCAATGAACTCAAGGGACCTTTGCGATGTGAAGGATGACTTTGGGAAATTGATTAGTTGAAAAGGCCCAGCTACCACTCGGAGCTGGCCCAGGTGCTGATGCTCCCAAGCAGCCCAGAGGTCTGGTCAGGTTGAGCTCCAGGATGGAACTGCCTGGCCTTCACTTAGCAGCCCCTTACATAGCATCCTATATAAGGTCTGTGTAGTACTCTGATTGGCTGCACAACAGGCGGCCCTTCTGCCCGGCTTGGAGGACCTCTCCACTGTTCCTGCTGCTGGCCAGGGTCCTGAAAGGCCTCCAGCTGGAAGTCTGGGCTCCGTCCGCCCCATCACACTCCTCCCCGCTCAGAGAACTTCAGGCAGGATATCCCCGCAAGCAGTATCTGCAGCTGCCCTGGAGAAGAAGTCTGCGTTCCTCTGTTGGGACCCTGGTCAGTGCTCCACTGTGAAGGCATATGGATGCAGTGCTAGATACCACTGTATAATCAGGGTATCCTTCATGTTATGTAGCCATTTTAATGGTGCATGGTCTGTGACGAGGTGAAATGGGGCTCCCAATAGGTAGTAGAGCAACGCTACTACTGCCCAGCAAATAGCTAGACATTCTCATTCTACGGTCGAGTATCTGGTTTCCCATGGGTTCAGGTTTCTGCTTAAGTACAGGATAGGGTTTTCCACTCTGGAAATTCTGAGATAATACTGCCCCCAAACCTACTGTCGAAGCATCCCTATGCAAGATGAATGATTGAGAGAAGGGGAAACATCGTCAGTGCTATGGGTGGTAGGTGGCAAAATTGCCTCCCCCATGCCTGAGACTGCGTTTGCGTGTGTTAGAGATACAGAAGCCGAAATTGAAGAGCAATGGCTTTCACTGTCTTTTCCCCCTATAGACTTATGGGGTGAAGGGTTAAGGGAGAGCAGGGCTTTGCCATATGCTTGGTCTTATATGGTCTTTTTCTATGCTGTTGAGTGGGTTGATTAAACATTTGCCACTGTGGGGGGCAAAGCATAGAGGTGGCATCCAAAAATAAGGAGCCCAGGGAGCCATTTGTGCTCTAAGAAATTCCAGTTGTTGCTGATCAGCAGACAATGTAGAGCCCTCTGTATATGGCTGAGGTGAAAAAGCAGCAAACACTCTTCCTCGTCCCGAGAGGGGGAAGGAGTCAGAGCAGTCAGAGAATGGAGAGTGAGGATGCTTGTTCTCAGAACAGGGAATATAAAGTGGGAGAAATCGCCGGGTCTTTGTGGTTCCTGTAGCTCCTGAGGGGAGTATGGGATGTGGGCAGCTCTGCCTGGCTGCTGAGGCAGGGCTGCCTGAGGTGTTGCCCCGGTAACGAGGGGGGGCACCCAGAGGCTGATCTGTGAGGAGATTCCTGGGTGCTCTGATGGGAGCGGGAAGCGCTCCTATGGCCGGTGGGGGGGCAGATGCTGACATGTCAGACAGCTCGGAGTGTGAGGCAGGCTCAGGAAGGCCCGATGCCTCCCTGAGGGCAGATGTTTTTATAGTTTTAGTTCCCTTTCTGTGCTCCCCCGAAGTAGCTGGGCTGTCAAACGTGCTCAAGCGGTTATTGCCTGAGCGGTCTGACTTTTCCCCCCCAGCGTGCCGCTTTCTGGGCTGGGTTGCCCCGGCCTTTGATGGCTTAGGGGTCGTTTGCCTTTTTGGTGTATCGCTCTGACCCGAGCCTGGCTCCGAGCTGTGTCGTTTGCCCTTGTCTTGCGCATTTGCGTTTTCAGCTTAGCGCAGTGCTGGCAGTCTTGATGAGAATGCAGCTGCCCCAGGCACTTCACATATTTATCGTGGCCGTCAGAGGCCGGCATTGCGTCCTTGCAGAGTGCAGCGCATTTGCAGGTGCATTTTCAGACCTATCCATTAGAAGCTTTTTGATCTATTTAATGTGTTGCCTTGTCAATTTTATATCATTCTAGGTTTTTTCAAAGTAATCATAGAATCAGATATGTCTAGAACTGAAAGAGACCTTGAGATATCGTACAGTCCAGTCTCCTGCCCTCATGGCAGCAACAAGCACTGTCTAGATCATCCCTGATAGATGTCTCATGTGGCACCAAGTCTATTGCCTCTCAGACCTCTAAGTACATTACATCAGCACTATGACCATGTGATTTCACCTCCCTCCACCCAATAAAATGTCAAGCTAATTTGACAGGATCTATTTTCCATAAACCTATATTGATTTGCATGAATTATCTTGCCCTCAATTCATTATTAATTGAATTCCATATAAGCCACTCCGTTACCTTGCCCTGGATCAATGGCAAATTGACAGGTCTACAATTACCCAGCTTTCCCCATTTGCCCAGCCTTAGCTTTCTTCCAGCCTTCAGAACTTCTCCAATGTCTTTTGGAAAGTCAACATTAACAATCCAGCATGGTCATCTGATGGCTCTTTTAAAATCTTGGATGCAAATTCTCTGGGCCTACTGACTTAGCAACGCTTAACTTTAGTAGCTCCTATTTAAATAGCTTCCTGAGGCAGCAGTGGAATGCCTAGTGTGTCGTGAGGGGTTTGGTTCTGTAGTGTCGGGGGGGCCCTGGTTCCACCTACACCTGCATCTCTGCACCTATCCCATTCTAAGGTATCTTATATACAAGGCTAAGAAGAAACCTCTGCTCATCAGTATGGAAGACATAAATCTGCGCACACACACCCATGCTCCTCCACAGCACCCTAGAACGACATCCATGGTAGACCCTTCTCACAACCAACACCCTGATCTCTTACCACACAGCAACACCCAATTCCTATAACTGTCCCTTCTTCATTCCCTACCACAAATCTCATGACCCCTCAGACCTCCACTCCCCAGCCTACAACCCTCCTGGTGCTTGTGACTGAGTTCCTAGAAGGCAGCACTGAGATTGCTCAATCAAGATAAATGGCAAAGAATGGGGCAGAAAATCCCCCAAACTGGTGGCTATTATAAATACTAAGATTCACCAAGCCACCAACAAAATGCTTCTACAAATAACTTGGGGTATGTCTACACTACCCCGCTAGTTCGAACTAGCGGGGTACCTCCTGGTGCTTGTGACTGAGTTCCTAGAAGGCAGCACTGAGATTGCTCAATCAAGATAAATGGCAAAGAATGGGGCAGAAAATCCCCCAAACTGGTGGCTATTATAAATACTAAGATTCACCAAGCCACCAACAAAATGCTTCTACAAATAACTTGGGGTATGTCTACACTACCCCGCTAGTTCGAACTAGCGGGGTAATGTAGGCATACCGCACTTGCAAATGAAGCCTGGGGTTTGAATTTCCCAGGCTTCATTTGCATCAGAGGGGCGCTGCCATTTTTAACACCCCGCTGGTTCCAACCCCGT